TTTCCGGGCTGTATGGCCGTGTTTTTGGCTTTGTAGGCCCTGACGTTTCGCCAGCCGCTGGCGAAACGTCAGGTCCTACAATACCAAGACCATACAGCCCGGAAAATCTACAATAAGTCATGAACTCCGGCCATGAAAACCATTGACAACATATTAGTCTCTTCCATGTCATGCATTAGCTGGTGTTTTTTCCCTTCTTCTTCACGACATATGAATGTTGATCAAGTAAAATGTATCCTGATGGTTACTAGAGTGAGTGGGAATCTTAGTATTAGTGTTGTACTTATTCTATTGCATTTATTATATGTATTTTGTTATTCTGTTCTTATGATGTAAATCTGCATTTAGTAGATCATTATAAGTCGGAACCCGCCCTGAGCCTGCTTTGCGGGGAAGGCGGGATATAAATTGAAGGAAATAATTAATAATTATCATGCTGTTTAGGTTCACCATCACTCCCTCTAATCCCCCTTAATTAATTAATTAATTAAGGGGGATTAGAGGGAGTGATGGTGAACCTAAACAGCATGATAAAAAGTAGAGACATCACCCTGCCAACAAAAGTCCGCATGGTCAAAGCAATGGTATTCCCAGTAGTCATGTATGGCTGCGAGAGTTGGACTATAAGGAAGGCCGAGCGCCGAAGAATAGATTCTTTTGAACTATGGTGCTGGAGAAAACTCTTGAAAGTCCCTTGGACTGCAAGAAGATCAAATCAGTCAATCCTAAAAGAAATCAACCCTGACTGTTCCCTGGAAGGCCAGATAATGAAACTGAAGCGCAAATACTTTGGCCACCCAATGAGAAGGGAGCCCTCACTGGAGAAGACCCTGATGCTGGGAAAGACTGAAGGTCAAAGAAGACGGGGACGGCAAAGGATGAGATGGTTAGACAGTGTCATAGATGCAACAAACATGAAATTGAGCAAACTTCAGAGGACGGCGGAAGACAGGAAGGCCTGGTGTGATCTGGTCCATGGGGTCGCGAAGAGTCGGACTCAACTGTGCGACTGAACAACAACAACAAGAGGGAGTGATGGAGAGGGTGATCATAAGAACATAAGAACATAAGAGACGCCAATGTTGGATCAGGCCAAAGGCCCATCCAGTCCAACACTCTGTGTCACACAGTGGCCAGAAATACCAGTGCCATCAGGAGGTCCAGCAGTGGGGCGAGGACATTAGAAGCCCTCCCACTGTTGACCCCCCCCCAAGCACCAAGAAGACAGAGCATCACTTGCCCCAGAGCCCCTAGCTATACCTTGTGGCTAATAGCCACTGATGGACCTCTGCTCCATATGATTATCTAATTCCCTTTTGAAGCTGTCCATGCTTGTAGCACCCACCACTTCCTGTGGCAGTGAATTCCATGTGTTAATCACTCTTTGGGTGAAGAAGTACTTCCTTTTATCCGTTCTAACCCGACTGCTCTGCAGTTTCATGGAGTGCCCACGAGTTCTTGTATTGTGAGAAAGGGAGAAAAGTACCTCTTTCTTTACCTGCTCTTTCCCATGCATAATCTTATAAACCTCGATCATGTCACCCCTCAGTCGTCTTTTCTCCAAGCTAAAGAGCCCTAAGCGCTTTAACCTTTCCTCATAGGGAAAGTGTTCCAACCCTTTTATCATTCGAGTTGCCCTTTTCTGCACTTTTTCCAATGCTATAATATCCTTTTTAAGGTGTGGTGCCCAGAACTGCACACAGTATTCCAAATGAGGTCTCACCATTGATTTATATAGGGGCATTATTATATTGGCTGATCTGTTTTCAATACCCTTCCTAATAATCCCCAGCATAGCATTGGCCTTCTTTATTGCAGTCACACACTGTCTCGACATTTTCAGTGAGTTATCCACTACAACTCCAAGATCTCTCTCTTGCTCAGTCTCTGCCAGTTCAGACCCCATCAATGTGTATTTATATTTAGGATTTTTGGCTCCAATGTGCATCACCTTGCACTTGGCCACATTGAACCCCATTTGCCATGTTGACGCCCACTCGCCCATCCTTGACAGATCCCCTTGGAGTGCCTCACAATCCTCACTGGTTTTCACCACCCTGAACAACTTTGTATCATCCGCAAATTTAGCCACTTCACTGCTTACTCCCATCTCCAAATCATTAATGAACAAGTTAAAAAGCAGTGGACCAAGTACTGATCCCTGCGGTACCCCACTGCTTACCACCCTCCACTGAGAAAATTGCCCACCTACACTCACTCTCTGTTTTCTATGAACTAGCCAGTTTTTGATCCATAAAAGGACTTGTCCTTCTATCCCATGATTTTTGAGCTTACTTAGGAGCCTTTGATGAGGAACTTTATCAAAAGCTTTCTGGAAGTCAAGGTAAATAATATCTATTGGATCCCCCTTGTCCACATGTTTGTTCACCCCCTCAAAGAACACTAACAGGTTAGTGAGACAAGATCTTCCCTTACAGAAACCGTGCTGAGTCTGCCTCAATAGGTTTTGTTCATCTATGTGCCTACTAATTCTTTCCTTAATAATGGTTTCCACCAATTTACCCGGTATCGACGTCAGACTGACTGGCCTGTAATTTCCCGGATCTCCTCTGGAACCCTTTTTAAAGATGGGAGTGACATTAGCTACCTTCCAATCCTCAGGAATGGAGGCAGATTTTAAGGAAAGATTACATATCTTTGTCAGGAGATCTACAAGTTCACATTTGAGTTCTTTCAGAACTCTCGGATGTATGCCATCTGGGCCTGGTGATTTTTCAGTTTTTAAGTTGTCTATCAGTTTTAGGACCTCCTCTCTCGTCACCTCAATCTGACTCAGGTCTTTCAACACCCCTCCTGAAATCAGTGGTTCTGGAGTGGGCAAGCACTTCTCATCTTCCACAGTGAAGACGGAGGCAAAAAATGCATTTAGCTTCTCAGCCATTTCCCTATCATCCTTCAATACTCCTTTTACCCCTTGGTCGTCCAAGGGCCCCACTGCCTCCCTGGCTGGTTTCCTGTTTCTAATGTATTTGAAGAAAGTTTTATTGTTGGTTTTTACGTTTTTTGCTATATGCTCCTCATATTCCCTTTTTGCCTGCCTGACCTCAGACTTGCATTTTATTTGCCATAGCCTGTGTTCCGTTTTATCAGCCTCACTGTGACTAGCTTTCCACTGCTTAAAGGAATTCTTTTTACTTTTTACAGCCTCCATTACTCTGTTTGTTAACCATGCAGGCTTTTTCCTATACCTGTTTGTGCCTTTCCTAACCTGCGGAATATATATTTTTTGAGCTTCTAGGATCGTAGTTTTAAATAGATCCCAAGCTTCCCCAATTGTTTTGACCCTTTCTACTTTTCCTTTCAGTTTCCTCCCCACGTGTCCCCTCATATCAGAGAAATTACCCCTTTTAAAGTTAAAAATGGTTGTGTGAGTCTTTTTGGCCAATTCTCTATTTGTACAAATGATGAACTCAACAACATTATGATCACTGTTTCCAAGCGGTGCAATCACTTTTACATCTCTCACCAGGTCTTGAGTGTTACTTAGGACCAAATCAAGGATCGCCTCTCCCCTGGTAGGTTCCGTGACCATCTGCTCCATAGCACAGTCATTTAGAGTGTCTAGAAACTCAATCTCTTTTTCCCGGCTAGAACACATATTGACCCAATCAATGTGTGGGTAGTTAAAATCACCTATTATTACACAGTGTTTTTGTCTAGTTGCTATCTTTAAGGCATTCATCATTTTATAATCCTCCTCTATCTTTTGATCTGGTGGGCGATAACAAACTCCCAGTGTTAAGTTTCCTTTTGGCCCCCCTATTTCAACCCATAGAACTTCCAGAAGCGAATCCAATTCACTTAGCCTCTCAATCTTTCTAGACTTTATACCCTCTCTGACATACAGAGCTACCCCACCTCCAACCCTTCCCCCCCTATCCTTCCGATATAATATATAACCGGGAATCACTGTGTCCCACTGATTTTCCTCATCCCACCAAGTTTCAGAAATACCCACAATGTCTATTTTTCCCTCCGACACCAAGCACTCCAACTCCCCGATTTTACCTCGGACACTTCTAGCATTTGTATAGAAACAGCTGTAATTTCCCTTACAAGTTAAGCCTGCATCCTTCCTCTTGCTATCTCGAGTCGTTGTCCGGCAGTCCATGTCACCAGCCATGGCCTCTGTGGACAATTTCAATCCACCTCCCTGTAGAAAAGCAACCGGTACCCCCTCACCTCTCTCAGATGAGCCAACCCGAACCAGAGACTTTTCATCTCCTGTCGGCTTTCCCCCAATATTCAGTTTAAAAGCTGCTCTGCCACCTTTTTGATTTTAAGTGCCAGCAGCCTGGTTCCTTCTCGGGACAAGTGGAGACCGTCTCGCCTGTACAGCTCCCTCTTGTTCCAAAAAGTATCCCAGTGCCTAACAAACCTGAACCCTTCCCCCCTACACCATCGTCTCATCCACGCATTGAGACTCCTGATCTCTGCCTGTCTCTCCGGCCCTGCGCGTGGAACAGGTAACACTTCTGAGAAGGCTACCTTGGAGGTCCTGGACCTAAGTTTCCTGCCCAGCAGCCTAAATTTCTCCTCCAGGACCTCACGACTGCATTTCCCCACATCGTTGGTGCCGACATGCACCACGACCACTGGCTCCTCCCCAGCACTATCTACCAGCCTATCTAAAACACGCGTAATGTCCGCTACCTTCGCACCAGGCAGGCAAGTCACCATACGGTCAGTACGCGGGTTCGCCACCCAGCTGTCTACCTGCCTAAGGATCGAATCACCCACTACCAAGAGCCCCCCTCCCACCCTGCTCAGGGATGGTTCCTTGGTGCAAAAGGAGAGCCGCTCACCAGCTGGGGAAGAGGTCCCTTCTGAGGGCACATTCCCCTTATCCTCAGCATGGTGCCCTGTTTCCCCTAGACCCTCATGCTCCCTGACAGCAGCGGGGCTGCCAGATCCAGAGTGGGACGTAGCTAACAAGTCCCCGAGAGTCTTTTCTGTGCGCCTAGCTGACTGTCTCTGCTTCTCCAGGTCAGCCACCTTGGCCTCAAGGGAGCACACACGTTCCCTGAGAACCAGGAGCTCCTTGCACCGAGGACACACCCAAGACTTCTGCCCAGTGGGCAGATAGTCATACATGTGACACTCCGTGCAAAACACTGGATAGCCCCCAACCCCCTGCTGGCATTCTGGCTTCATAATTCTTTTAAAATAAATAAATATAATCCCCCTTTTAAACCCTTGGTATTTATGTGGTTTTTGTTATCAAAGTCAAATTATTTTACGGGAAAGACAAAGAGCCTGGCTCTTTTTGGGCTATTTACAGAGCCCCTAGTCTAAGAGTCCCTAGGCTAAGAGCCACAGGCAAAGGAGGCTCGTGCCTCTGGCAAGGTGCTTCCTTAAATAGAGGCCTCCCCCAGCAGAGGTCAGGCAGCAGCTATTCAAATTCAAATTCACCCAGGCACTCAATCACAGGCAAAACAATGCCCCTTCCACTTCCTCTCAATTACAGGCAATCCCAGTCAAACAATGCCCGTTCCTCTCCCACACTCAATCAGCCAGGACTCTGCAAGAACTCTAAATGCTTCCACACACTGCTAAACACAGTTTTCCCACAAAATATCCTTAGCTGAATTCTCTCAGCTGAAAGCAAGTAAAAGAAACCCACTCACCTCTCTCACAGCTCTCTCTCCTGCTCCTGCTCAGAGCTCAGCTGGTCTCCTCTGCCTCTGGCAAGGTGCTTCCTTAAATAGAGGCCTCCCCCAGCAGAGGTCAGGCAGCAGCTATTCAAATTCAAATTCACCCAGGCACTCAATCACAGGCAAAACAATGCCCCTTCCACTTCCTCTCAATTACAGGCAATCCCAGTCAAACAATGCCCGTTCCTCTCCCACACTCAATCATCCAGGACTCTGCAAGAACTCTAAATGCTTCCACACACTGCTAAACACAGTTTTCCCACAAAATATCCTTAGCTGAATTCTCTCAGCTGAAAGCAAGTAAAAGAAACCCACTCACCTCTCTCACAGCTCTCTCTCCTGCTCCTGCTCAGAGCTCAGCTGGTCAAAGACTGTGGATGCCAGAATGCCGCTTGCTTGGGGTTCTCAGTGGGGGCAGCTGTGCCCTTTGTACAATGTTTGTTGTTTTCTCAAAAACATCTGGTCGGCCACTGTAGAAAATGGATTGGTGACCTAGATGGGTGCCCAGGCCATAGAAGAAGAGAAGAGAGATTGGATTGATACCCCGCCCTTCACTACCCAATGGAGTCTAAGAGCGGCTGACAAACTCCTTCCCCTTCCCCTCCCCACAACAGACACCCTGTGAGGTAGGTGGGGCTGAGAGAGCTCTTGACAGAAACTGCCCTTGAGAGAATACCTCTGACAGAACTTGTGACTGACCCAAGTTCTGCAGATTGGGGGGGGGGGGAGATTTAGCTAGACAATCTTTGAGACAGAGAGTGGAAGACACTGAACGTCAGCCTGACATTTAAAAAAACATCTAGTTTTATTGTTTCTCCTCATAAACATTTTTTCTCTCATTCCGGCCTCCTATCTTTACAATCTGGAAAATGTCAGTCAAACAAGAGCTTTCACTCTTGCTAGATTTTCAGCTTTGCCATCTTCAGTTATCGAGGACAAATATAACAAAATTGCTGGGACTGAGGGATTTTGCCCTTGTAAGAGTGGTGGGAGAGAGTCAACGGTGCATGTCTTTCTTCCCTGTTCTTTCTACAATGAAAATTCTCCCTTACCCCCCCCCCCCCCCCCGTTACTTGAGCTCTGTCCTGACATCTCCGACTCTGGGATCACTAACATACTTCTCTCTGATGTGAGCATATCGCCCAGAAAGTTGCTAAATTCTGCTCCCAAGCGATTAAACTGCGTTCACTATATATATATTTCCCAACTTAATGTGGAAGATAGTAGCTGATTGTATTCTGTATTAGAAATCCCATGGTAGAAACTGCTGTATCTGTATTCGTACTCGTTTTAATTTACGTTTATACACTTTTATATTTGCATACCTTAATTTCATATTTTATCAGGTTGTGGTCATTTCTTTTTCTTCTTCTTCTTCTTACTTGTTTGTATTCTGGTCATGGACTGTAAATAAAGTAAAGTAGACAGAGAGGAAGAGGGAGGGAAGGAGTAAACTCATGGGATGTTCTTGATACTCATCACTGAGGTACTGTGTAAGTGAACTGGCCCTAAGAAAAGTATTTCATGTGCCTGTGAATTTTATTCTGCCTCAGAGTTCTGGTTTGCACAGCTGAGAGGGAGGCAGTGCAAAGCGGGGAGGGGCCATGGCTCAGCGGCAGAGCATCTGCTTGGCTTGCAGAAGGTCCCAGGTTCAATCCCCGGCATCTCCAGTTAAAAAGGACCAGGCAGGAGGTGATGGGAAAGACCTCTGCCTGACACTTTAGAGAGCCGCTGCCAGTCTGAGTAGGCAGTATGGAATTTGATGGACTGATGAATATCCAGGCCAAGGGAAGTTGGTTGAAGGGTCCTTATCCAGACCCAAGGGAAGCACTTCTTAAGTCCCACCAATATAAGGGGAGAGCTTTTAAGTAGGCAGAACTTTTTAAAATGCTGAGCTTCAGTGAGACGGTGTGCCCTTAGCCACTTATCTGAGAGGCTTTGGAGTGACAGTTTTAGCTTTCCTTAATTAGACCGACATTTGAGAAACGAACTAGCCCCTTGACAGACTGTCCTTTAAAATCTGGGGACTTGACAAGACGCTAATGGCACTGCAGCCTCTTTAGGAGTAGAGCTATGTGCTTCAAAGGCCTCATAAAGCATTTTTCATTCTGTAACTGACACAGATTTAAAGAACTAGAAGAGACACCGAGGAAGAAGGACCCTTGGCCGGAAGATCTACACCTTATAAGCTGCTTGCAAGAGAAACTCAGTGAGAAAGAGGAGATGATCAAAGAATTAATGGTAAGGTTTGGAGCTGTGGTGGCTCAAGTGGTTAAGACGCTGAACTGCAGGCTGTGGAAGGGTCAGCAGTTCGAGACCCGAGTGTGCCGCATGACGGAGTGAGCTCCCGTCTCTAGTTCCAGCTCCTGCCAACCTAGCAGGTCGAAAGCAAGAAATTGCAAGTAGATAAATAGGGACCACTTCGGTGGGAAGGTAACAGCGTTCCGTGCGCCTTGGTGTTTAGTCATGCCGGCCACATGACCACGGAAACATCTTCGGACAGCGCTGGCTCTTCGGCTTTGAAACGGAGATGAGCACCGCAACCCTAGAGTCGGGTTCGACTGGCTTTTGAGAAAGGGGACCTTTACCTTTTACCTTGGGGCCGCAGAGGGATGGTTGTGGGATGCCCCCGCAGCACAGAAGTCAGAAAAAGAACGTGAGCTGGGACCAGTGACACCTTTCTTTCTGCAGGAAGTTCTCAAAGCTATTTATTTACAGTTAGTTATCGTCTGCCTTTCACACTGAGACTCAAGGCGGGTTACACAGGGCACATCAATATCATCAGCAGGGTGGGACATCCAGTAACCCGGGGTCCCCAACGCGGTGCCCGTGGGAAACACAGTGCCCGCTGTCACCTTTCCTGGCACCCGCCAAGGGCTTTTAGAAGGAGGGCAGGGCTGGGTGGTACTTGGCTGGGCAGATTGAAAGGAAATTTTTTAAACAGAGCTTCTGCCTGAACTACTGAAGCGGTGCTATTAGAGTTCTGCGTAACCTGTCTCCCTGACATTTTGTGGTTGGCCCCACCTCCCGTGGCAGCCATTTTGTGATTGTCGTAGTAGATAACTCAATGAAAATGTCGAGACAGTGTGCGACTGCAATAAAAAAGGTCAACGCTATGCTGGGGGTTATTAGGAAGGGAATTAAAAATAAATCAGCCAGTATCATCATGCCCCTGTAAAAATCAATGGTGCAACCTCATTTGGAGTACTGTGTACAGTTCTGGTCACCACACCTGAAAAAGGATATGATAGCATTGGAAAAAGTGCAGAAAAGGGCAACTGGAATGATAAAAGGGCTGGAACACTTTCCCCATGAAGAAAGGTTAAAGCACTTGGGGCTCTTTAGCCTGGAGAAACGACGGCTGAGGGGTGACATGATCGAGGTTTATAAGATTATACGTGGGATAGAGCAGGTTGAGAAAGAAGTCCTTTTCTCCCTTTCTCGCAATACAAGAACTCCTGGGCACTCAATGAAATTGCTGAGCAGTCAGGTTAGAATGGATAAAAGGAAGTGCCTCTTCACCCAAAGAGTTATTAACACATGGAACTCACTGCCACAGGAGGTGGCGGTGGCTACAAGCATGGACGGCTTCAAGAGGGAACTGGATAAGCATCTGGAGCAGAGGTCCATCAGTGGCTATTAGCCACAAGGTATAGTTAGGAACTCTCAGTCTGGGGCAAGTGATGCTCTGTATTCTTGGTGCTTGGTGGGGGGCAACAGTGGGAGGGCTTCTGGTGTCCTGGCCCCACTGGTGGATCTCCTGATGGCACCTGGTATTTTGTCATAACAGGGCCAGTGGGCAAGGCAGAGAGGGAGAGTTTACAGTCCAGTCCAAGAGTCCAGCCAGAGAGATCAAAAGAGTCGGAGCAAAAGTCCCAATCACACAAAGCCAAGCCGTAGTCAAACGTTACCGATAGTCAGAGTCCAAACAAGCCAGTATCGTAGTCAGGAAGCGTAGCCGAGGATCAAGAGCCAGAGGGGTCGTCAAAACGCGGACTGGAGTCAGGAACCGGGAAATCAGTCAGGAGCCAAACAGAGTCAGAGATGCAGAGCTTCTGGTCCAATGGACAAGTTTGCCAGCACAGTTTGCTAGCAGCCAGCGGTCTGTTAAAATAGCGTGCTGGGTCATTATCTCATTAGCCCGGCTTCCCGAAGTCCTTGAGTCTGTTAGTAATCTGGGCTTAATGATCGCCAACCGCGCAAGCGTGCCTCCTTGCACCTGGTTGCCAAATCCCGGCGTCTCTGATTCCTCAGCTGATCAACAGGTGGCAGAGAATCGGGTGGCGTGTTGCTGGGGCCAGGCATTGCCTGATCGGCTTCAGGTGCAAACTGTCCTGGGGTTTGGTGTTCATCCTCCCCAACACTTAGGTTTGGTGAGGACTCTCGTGCTTCTGATGATGTTAAAGGCATGGAGTCCTCAGTTTCAGAGCTCCCAGGTGCCGGGTCCCAGGTACAGGCATTACATATTTTTGGCCACCGTGTGACAGAGCGTTGGACTGGATGGGTCATTGGCCTGATCCAACATTGGCTTCTCTTATGTTCTTATGTTCTTATTGTGCCTTGGGTCAGATTTTCAAAGGTGCCCATAGGCACTAAAAGGCCCAGGAAGTAAGCCATGTAAAAGGATTAGGATTGCAGAAATCCAAGACCGAACTGGAAGAAAGCACAAATGTTAACATGACATATTAAACAACGCAGGGATTAGGACAACCACGTTATTTTCAGTGCTATTCCGCAAGGCAACAATAGAATTCCCCTACATTTTAAGAGGATAAGAGCATGAAAAACAAAGCAAAGACACTTCCCTAACTACATTTGAAAATGAAAACTGAATCAGCTGCTTCCGTCACTTCTTCACAATTTGATTTGGATAAAGACGCTCAGAAATGCATAACATTCGCGGTCCAGCCAAAGGAAACTGATTTTTCAGTCCCTCTGATTTCACTGGGAGAGCTGAACACACGCGTAAAGCTGTCTCACTGAAAATCCAGCTGGTTTGCATCTCACATGATTTCAAAACTGAAGTTTGTTGGTGCATCCATAGGGAACAGAAAGCAAAATCTCAATGGGATTCTGGGAAGAATTTTCGGTTTCATTGCAGTGTTTTGTTTCTTTTTTTCCATGTTCAGTTTATTTCAGGCATGATCCATCTCTTGGTGGGAGGAACCAACATGCGGCATGCCCATCTTTCAGCCCCATTACATACAACAGCAGGCTGGTTAGGGCTGCCAAGCCGCGGCGGGGGATCCGTGCGTCTTCACAGGATCCCTGCCGCGGGGGACAGTGATACGGCGGTGCACCGCCGTATCACTGTCCCCCGCGGCAGGGATCCTGTGAAGACACACGGATCCCCCGCCGTGGCTTGGCAGCCCTAAGGCTGGTGCATAGCTCCTAGAGACATGTCCCGCCGTCTCTCTCCACCCCAGGGCTCCTAACCTGCTACTCCTGCCAAAAGTAACTATGGAGGGCATAGCACAGTGCAGCTGCACACCCAGTGGGGGAAGAGACACCATGCCCTTTCTGGTTTTAGTAATCGCTCATGTGTCTAGTTCTTATTCATGATACCAGACTGCATCCCCTTTTCGGTTCTCAAAGCTTCTTCAGGGTTCCGTTTTTGACAACTGTAAAATAAAGCTCGGGGCAACCTGGGACAATCTCTATATGTCTCCTCTTGGCAGGATGGCAGACAACTTCAGCCTCCCTTTGTGTCCAGTACCAAGCCTCATCGCAACCGATCCTTTTCATTTAACACGAATCCTTCAACGTGTTTGGCTCCAGTTGCAAAGGTAACAGAAATAAATGAACGCAGTACTAAAAGCCTATGACTTCCTTATTCCTTCCGCTCCAGGCAGCCAGCTAGCAAGGTCGTGTTAGGAAAGGCCATGGCATGGGTGGGGAAAGTACTCCAAGCCAGGGGTGTCAAACATGCGGCCCGGAGGCCAGATCAGGCTCCTGGAGGGCTTCTGTGAAGCCCGCAGTGGAACTGGCTGTCTTCTGCTTCTTCTTCCAGTTCTGCTGCTGCTGCATCATCGTAGGTTTGCAGCTTACAGGTACACACCTGAACAGCCTACTCATCAAGATTGCAACAGCACAGACATTTTGATGCAATAATTCAGAGCAAGGGGTGTCAGTTATCAGACACTGTTAAATAAAGAAAATATTGCAAGAGTGCTAATGTTTTAAGCATGTTTTTATTTTAAGTAAAAAAAACCCTTTGTGTTTGTGTCCTTTATAAAGTTTATATCTCCGCCACCTGGCATTACATTTTATGACACACATGGCCCGGCCCAACAAGGTCTCATTTATGTCAGATCTGGCCCTCGTAACAAATGAGTTCGACACCCCTGCTCTAATCTAGCTAGTAAACTTTTTTGAGAAGCTCCGGGACTTAACCATGGTTCTTCCTTCTCCATTTTTAAGCTATACCCAGGGCTTTTTTTGTAGAAAAAGCCCAGCAGGAACTCATTAGCCACACCCTGATACCACAGCTCATTAGCATATTAGGTCGCAGCCCCCTGTTGCCAGAAGTCTGGCCATGCAGCTACACCCACCTTTTGCTTCTTATTCCGTTTACCTTGTTTGTTGTCCAAACCCAGGGCCTTTTTTTGTAGCAGGAACTCCTTTGCATGTTAGGCCACACACCCCTAATGTAGCCAATCCTAATGAGTTTCTGCTGTTGGGTGTGGCCTATTATGCAAATGAGTTCCTGCTGGGTGTGGCCAACTCGGGAGCCAGCTGGAACTCCGTTCCTGTGCGTTCCTGCCCCAAAATAGCCCTGGCTATACCAAACACTCTGAGGTAAGGTAGGCTTAGAGGAAATAACTGGGGTCGTCCAGTGATAAGTATATAAGAAGAGCCCTACTGAATCAGACCCGTGGTCCATCTAGTCCAGTGGTGTCGAACTCATTTGTCACGAGGGCCAGATCTGACATAAATGTCACTTTGTTGGGCCGGGCCATGTGTGCCATAAAACGTAATGCCAGGCACCGGAGATACAAGCTGTATAAAGGACAGCAGCTGGTAAGCTCCAAGTTGTTGTATCCTCCCTGCAAGGGGATGGGAGGGGGGTGCAAAGGAAAACCTGTGTGGGTGGACTGGAGACCCAGCAGTACAGCGCTGAGCAGATGCTCCCGCGCTGCTTGACTGCTGTGGATGAGGTTGTTCTGCTATACCGAAGCCACAATCAGAGTGGCTCCACCCACTCCCCCCCCCCAAACAGTCTCCTGTTCCCTCCCTTGCACCAGCTGCTTGCGGGCCGCATAAGAGCCCAGGACAGGCTGGTTCCGGCCCCCGGGCCTTGTGTTTGACACCCCTGATCTAGTGTGAAGCAGTGGCCAACCAGTTACTCTGATCTTCTTGACTGGCAACCCGGGTCTGCCCAGTCCAGCTCTGTAACCAGCACACCACACTCCCTTTCTTTTGTCCTGCTCAGTGTCAGGAAATAAAGAATGCCCTGCAGGGTTCCCCCCCCCCCCAAAAAAAAAAACCTTTCTGTCTTCAGGAAAGCTTTTCCAGACTGCTTCAGAACTGTTGACAGGTTGCACTATTTATTTATTTATTTGTTAGACTTTTATCCTGCCCTCCCGCTGAAGCGGCTCAGGGCGGCTTACAATAGTTGAAAACCAATATACAATTGATAAAATATCAAGTCAAAACAATACAATCGGTAAAATCTCAAAATATAACTATTACAGTTAAGATTAAGACGTGGTGGACATCTGTTATTAAGTATTGATAATTATGTGTAAGGGTAGTGTAGTCGACTATTAAAATGCTTGCCGGAACAGCTCGGTCTTTATCACTCTACGGTACAAGATTCTGGGGCATAGCCCAGGGAACATGGGCAGTTAATACCAAAGTTCTGCCTGGTCGTTTTTTGTCTTGTGACAAACCCCTCTGGTGAACCAAGAATGCCTTTGTGAAGTATAGTTCACACTCAATTATGACTTGCAAAGGAAGACAGGGGGGACGACACATTATATTAAAAAGCCTATTTGACATTACTGACTTTTTTCATGCTAAGTTTCTCGGGGAGCCCAAGATTACCACGAACACACATGAGGCTTCCTTGTTCTGACCAGGGGTCGTTTCGTAGAAAAAGAGCTAGGGGAACTCATTAGCATAACTCATTAGCATATGCCACACCCCCTGCCATCACCGGAAGTGTGTCATATAACCACACCCACCACTCAGTTAGTCTTAGTCTTAAAGGTTAGTCTTAAAGGTGCTATTTGTTAGTCTTAAAGGTGCTATTTGTTAGTCTTAAAGGTGCTATTTGAACTCTTGGACTATTTTGCAACAACAGACTAACACAGCTACCTCGGGGAAGCTCCTGGATGGGGCTGGGAGTCCTTGCAGAGGCCACATGGAGTGGTCTCGGCCAGGCAGAGGGGGAGGACGCCAACTTACCCTCCTGCTTTTTCCTCCTTCTGCAACAGAATGAGGCTGGAAGCAGGGGGCTGCCAGAAGAAGGGGCGGGGCTTCGTTGTGTGCCCCGCCCCCCTGCACCTCACCTGGGGGAACTGCGTTCCCCCGCGTTCCCCCCCCCGAAATGACCTCTGGTTCTGACACATCCTGTTGGTCCATCAGGGTTTCTCTTGTCTACTCTAACTGACAGCAGCTCTCCGGAGTCTCAGGCAGTGGTCTTCCATGTCATCTATTTCCTGCTCCTCTTAACGGGAGATGCCAGAGATTGAACCCACAAGCACACAAAGCAGATGTTCTACCACTGAGCCAGGAACCCTACCTAAACAGGTGGAGAACCACTATCTTCATGTATCTGATGAAGGCTGGGGTGCCTTTTCAGAGTTTGGCAGAGAATGGAAAGAGATTCGAAAGGCTGAGGGAAAGTCACAGCAGTGTTCAAAGTGTGGATATCTTCAAGATTAGGCATAGAGCAATCTAGATTCCGTAACTACAATCCTGCACAAAATTAGGAACACAATTATTTCACTAGGCCAGTCGGATGGTGGCCTGTGGGTCTGCAATTTAGATTTTTCTTCCTGTGAAAACTAAGTTGGCAAGAAGAGTAAAAGTTTTTGCTGCTCGTGGGGCTCTTCTGCAGTCTCATTTCCCTCACTTCCAAGTTCCTGTTTCTTCAGGAGCTTTTTTCTGTTCCGCGTGGTCTGTGCTCCTTCTAGTGGTCAATTCTATATTACATTGGGTTATGTCTGGCTTATCTCCCTGAAGATTTAAACTGCAGGTTTTCATGCTCTCAGTATCTCCTCCCTCACATCTGTAATATGTGGATAATAACCTTTCAGGATCGTTTGAACAATCACAGATACAACGTGTGCCAAGAATCCTGAATACTCTTACATTCAGAGCAACAGGATCTATGACACCTGCTCATGGTCCCTGGCCCAAAAGAAGTCTGCCTGGCCTCAACCACAGCCAGAGATTTCTCAGCTGGTGGAACACGCTCAGGAGTTAGATCCAAGCCCTGCGGGATTTAATGCAATTCCACAGGGCCTTTGGCTGAGGCGGCAGTAAACCATCTACACTGGCCTCCCCTGCCCTGCTCCATCTCTTGTTCCATCTACTGTGGCCGACTCTCTTGCATGTGTTATTCCATCCACGGCATACATAGGTTGGGTTGGGATCTGCTAACTGTGTCACAGACTGCCATCTACTGGTAGCTGAAATTCAGCATCTGATGGCATAGGCTTTAATACCTTATATTTTCATGCTCCATCCACGTTAATTGATTGTGTTTATACTTGCTGTACCCCGCTCTGAGTCCACTGTGCAGAGAGAGAAGGCTAGAAATTGAATAAAATAAATAAATAAAACAAAGTTAGATTTGGGGGAAAGCTGCAGTATGGCCGGTGTTGATAATATCCAACAGCCTTTAAGTGTGTGTCACGTCCTTTTGTTTTTATCATAAAGCAGAAGAAGAAAATGGACGACATGCCCAGCCGTATCGTCAGCGTTCCGGATTTGGCCTCCTACGCCAAAAGCTTTTTGAGTGGCGATTTGAGACCTAAGAGGAACCCGCCTCAGATTACAAAATCGACAAGTTTAGATCAGAATCCTGTCTGTGTCCGAGTGTGCTATCCGCCGGTACAAGCGCTGGAGACCAAGCCGGGCCCATGGTAAGAAGTCAGTCTGCGCTGACGGGGAGAAAAGAGGTGACGTTAGTCAAGGATACAGTTCTCAAACTCTGGAAGGAAAGATCAACGTCATTACCTCTCAAAGGAGTTTGGTAGTCCTTAGAATCAGTCGCTGAATGCCGTGTTAAGTTTCAGAGCTCTCTGACAGTCAGGAAAAAAAGAACCGAAAAAAATTACTAAAATGGTGGGGCTATTTTAGAACAGGGGCCGCGGTGGCTCAGAGGTTAAGACGCTGAGCTGCAGAGTGGCAGGTCTGTAGTTTGGCAGTTTGAGACCCGAGTGCCGGGTGACGGGGTGAGCTCCCATCTCTGGCCGCAGCTCCTGCCAACCTAGCTTTTGAGCAAGAAATCGCAAGTAGATAAATAGGTACCGCTTCAGTGGGAAGGTAACAGCGTTCCGTGTGCCTCGGCATTTAGTCATGCCGGCCACATGATCACAGAGAAGTCTTCGGACAGCGCTGGCTCTTCGGCTGTGTAAGATTGATACTGTTTGTGTGGTGGTGGGACTTTTTGGTGTGGCCCCTCTTCACATCAGATCTCCGTGACCCTCAAAAAAGCCACTTGTGTGGTTGGGGAGCCTCAGGGGCCATCAGAAGCCAAACTCCACACAGGCCCATCTGAGCATAAACATGCTTTGGGGTTCTTTAGATCCTGGTCGATATTTTTAACGGCTGAATTTTCCCCCCCAGTACAGTTCTTGTAAAAGGTAAAGGTTCCCTTGCTCGAAAGCCAGTCATCTCCATTTCAAAGCCGAAGAGCCAGCGCTGTCCAAAGATGTTTCTGTGGTCATGTGGCCGGCATGACTAAACACCAAGGCGCACGGAACGCTGTTACCTTCCCACCGGAGTGGTACCTATTTATCTACTTGCAATTTCTTGCTTTCGAACTGCTAGGTTGGCAGGAGCTGGAACTAGAGACGGGAGCTCACTCCGTCATGCGGCACACTCGGGTCTCGAACTGCTGAACTACTGACCTTCCACAGCCTGTTCAGCGTCTTAACCACTTGAGCC